AAAAAAAAAAAAAAAAAAAAAAAAAAAGACACTGGTGTGGTTCTGTTTCTTGCTTTTGTGGTACTGGAGATTGAACACAGAGTCTTGCACTGAGCTACATCCCCAGCCCTTTCAATTTTTAAATTTTGAAATTGGGGTGTCTCACTAAGTCTCTTAAGTTTCCCAGGGTGGGTTCCAACTTTCTTCCTTTGTCTTTTTGTCAGGGTCTCACTATGAACTCCAGGCTGGCCTAGAACTCACAGTGTAGCCTAGGCTGGCCTTGAATCCAGCCTGGGGTGGCAGGTGTGTGCCACCACACCCAGCTCATTGGAGAAATTGCTGTATAAAGTTCAGGGCTCATTCCTGGCCTCAGGCCGCATGCTTAGGGGATGTGGAGGGGAAGGGAAGGCCTCCCACGCTGAGGCACGAGGGTTCAGGCCAGGGTTAGAGCAGAAGTGAGACTGACCTGGATCCCATGCAGAGGCTGTGGAGGGCCTCGGGGACAGAGCCTGAGCCATGGTACTGAGGGTCCCAGATCACAGGCTGAGAGTCCCACTAGGCTTGGGTGCAGGATAAGAGCCGAGGCCAAAGCAGACACCAGCACTGAGCTGGAAGGGAGGGAAGAGGTGGGGAAGCAGGCAGCAGGGGTGAGGGTAGGAGCTGGACACACAGAACGGAGGCAGAGGTGAGAGTGAGTCCCAGACACCAAGCAGAGACAGGGAAAGGTTGGGATCGGAATTTTAGGATGACATGCATCAAGAGCGGTGACTACAGTTCACAAAGATTTGTTACAAGTTTTATAAAGCACTAGGAGAGTCGGGTTGCTGGCACATGCCTGTTGTCCCAGCATTCTGGGAGGCTGAGGCAGGAGTATCACAGGTTCAATCCCAGCCTGGGCTATTTAGTAACTTAGCAAAACCACGGCTGGGGACTAGGGCCCAACCAAGGATACCTCCATGGACCCCGGTGAACTCACTGTGCCTGGCCATGACCCAGCCAGCCGCAGGCCCCTGGCCACCCTGCTATGAGGAAGCCATCTCTCCACATGACGAAGGTTTGGCCCCAGCTGCCCAACCAGTCAGATGAGCCCGGCAGACACCTGCCTGCCCAGGGGCCAGGGAACAGGGGTGCAGGGTGATCTGCCTCAGGTCTGCCCATCAGCCCACAAGGTGAAATGTCACACTTCCCAGGAAGTGCGGGGCTCCTGTCACCCTGACTGTATCCATGGTAACCCAAGGACTGAGAGAACCTGTCTCCAACATCACAGAGCAATGGTACTTTGATCATCAGAGAAAAAAGCAGGGGGGTTGGGGATTTTGCTCAATGACTGCACTGCCTGCCTCACAAGTACAAGGACCCGAGTTCAATCCCCTGTACCAAAAAAAGAAAAAGTAAGATTTGTTCAGGACCTAAGCTTATGTCAGAGTTCTAAGCATTTGTCACGCATCAACTCATTCTCTTTTCTGGTAGTGTAGGGTTGAACCCAAGTCCTTTACACTGAGCCACATCCTCAGCCCTTTTTTTAACTTTTTATTTTGAAACAGGGTCTTGTTGAATTGCCCAAACTTACGACCCTCCTGCCTCAGCTTCCCACAGAGCTGGGATGACAGGCACGCACCACCATGCTTGGTTGATCGTTTAACCTTTATTACACCTACATGAGAAGGATGTCGTCATGCTTTTCTGGACAGATGGAGAAACTGAGGCACTGGCAGATTTAGTGACCAGCTGTGCTCTGCATCTGGGCCTCTCTGGGCATGCTGGGTAAACGCCTCTGTCTCTGGTTTTAGGGTTCCACCTGAGTGGGAATGTGCGGGATCCGGGCAGCCCCGGGGAGCCTGAGCACTTCCACCACGTGTCCGTCAGCTTTGACCGCTGCAAGATCACAGCCGTGAGCTGCAGCTGCGACAACCGAGACCTCTTCTACTGTGCACATGTGGTGGCCCTGTCCCTCTACCGCATCCGCCATGCACTCCAGGTGGAGCTGAGGCTGCCCATCTCCGAGACACTGTCCCAGATGAACCGTGACCAGCTCCAGAAGTTCGTTCAGTACCTCATCAGTGCCCACCACACAGAGGTGCTGCCCACCGCCCAGCGCCTGGCTGATGAGGTCCTGCTGCTGGGCTCCGAGATCAACCTGGTGCATGGTAAGGGCGCCTGCCATCACAGCCACCTCACGTCCTTCGTGCCGGGCACTTATCGTGGAATCCTCAGTGCCCTGGATACACAGTGGTGGCACATCCTGGATGTGCTCTGGCCCCAGGGCAGATGAGTGGTCGGAAATCGGGCAACAGGGCTGGGCATTGTGGTGCACACCTATAGTCCCCCCTACTCAGGGGGCTGAGGCAGGAGAATCTTAAATTTGAACCGAACCTGAGTAAGGTATGCGTGGCACTACGAGGACTGGAGAGTTGGTGCTGAGGATCTAGAGTGGAGGGAAGACACGTAGATGAGGAGTGGTTCGTGGAGACACCCATGGATCATGGAGCGGGAGCTGGGTGGGTGCGAGACTTCATGGTCCAGCCCTGGGGTGGCTGGGGGCGGAGAGCAGTAGAGAGGGTGAATGGATATGTGAGTAAGCAGCACAGTAGGTGGTGACTGAAATGGGGTTAAGTGGTGGGGTGGGGAGGGCTTGGAGTGGGCCACTGAAGTAGACAGATGGTGCTGGACCAGCCAGGTTGGGGAAAGGATGGAAGAGCCAGTGGGTGCTGAGGTGGGGATCAGTGGCTGGCACCTCAGAGGCTCTTAAGTGTGGGTTGACCCGGCGGATGGGCAGAGCAGGCGGGTGTTTTATGAAGGGTGTGTGGATGGACTAGTGGGGTGGTGGGCATTTTGAGTAATCTACATGTGCTGGAAAGGAAAATGCCAGAGTGGGTGAATGGAGCAGTGAGGTGTGTGTGGACGGGTGGGAACTCAGGTAAGGGGGTGGTGGGCTTACAGGGTAGGGAGCCGCAGACGGGGTGAGGGTGTGGAGGAGCTGAAGGGGAAGGAGTAGACGGACGGAGCAGCATAAATCTGGTGGGCTGTTCTGGGTGAGAGGCGGGCGAGCAAACGGAGTGGGGACGTTTGGACCTGTGGGATGGGTCGCCGTAGATGTACGTGTTTTGTAGGTGAACAGAGAGGAGTGGGGAAAGGATAAAGGAGCTGGTGGTGTTTGGGGCGTGAGGCGTGGGTGGGTGAATTAGTAGATTGGATGGGCGGACGGATAGAAGACTGGAGAGGATGGGGACAGTGCAGGAGATGACGGCTGGATGAACAGGTGGAGGGAGGGTGGATAAACGGATGGGTGGCTGTTGTTCGCCAGGACAGCCGGCCCTGTGGTACACTGCGGGATGTGCAGGCCCCTTCCGGGCCTGAGCTTCTCCCTTTCCATTTCCCAGGCGCCCCTGACCCTACAGCGGGCGCAAGCATCGAGGACGCCAACTGCTGGCACCTGGATGAGGAGCAGATCCAGGAGCAGGTGAAGCAGCTGCTGTCCAACGGTGGCTACTACGGGGCCAGCCAGCAGCTGCGCTCCATGTTCAGCAAGGTGCGGTGGGGGCAGGGGGAGGGCTCCTGGGGCTGGACCCCGCCCCTTTTCACACCCCGCCCCGCCCCGCCCCCTGCTCAGGTACGGGAGATGCTGCGCATGCGGGACTCCAATGGGGCGCGCATGCTCATCCTCATGACCCAGCAGTTCCTGCAAGACCCACGCCTGGCCCTGTGGCGGCAGCAGGGCGCGGGAATGACCGACAAGTGCCGGCAGCTATGGGACGAGCTGGGTAAGGCCTGGCTGTGAGGGTTGGGCCCCTGAATCCGCCCTCCATCACTTGGGGACACTTACATAGCTCCCGCCACGTGGGTGATGAGGCGCTGCCCCATGGTGTCACAGACAGTAGGGAAGACACCTGGTGAAATATCCACTCGGCCAGGAGCGTGGTGGTACACTTCTGTCCTCCCAACACCCCAGAGGCTGAGGCAGGAAGACCATGAGTTCCAGCCTGGGCTACATAGTGAGTTCAAGGCCAGCCTAGAATGCACAGCAAGACTCTGTCTCAAAACAAAAACATACTATCCACTCCTTTCTTGGTTCCGTGGACAATTGGATCCAGGACCCCCACCCCTCAGGAACAGGAAAGCTGGGAGAGCTCAAGTCCTTATGTAAAGTGACACAGTATTTGCACAGAACCCACACACATTCTCTTCCTGGTCCTGGAGAGTGGGACTCAAGGGTGCTTTGTCACTGAGCTAGGTCCCTCCCCAGCTATTCTGACTCTTCATTTGGAGACAGAGTCTCTCGAAATCGCCAAGGATGGGTTCCAACTTGTAATTCTCCTGCCTCAATCTCTGCAATCACTGAGATTACAAGTGAGTGCCACCCTGCCTGGTTTTCTTTCTCTCTTGTTTTTTGGTTTTGTTTTGTTTGTGTTTGTGTTTTTTGTTCATTTTTGTTTTTGACAGAGTCTCACTGTGTGTTCAGACTGCCCTGGAACTGTGTACCCCAGGCTGGTCCTGAACTCAAAAAGATCCTCCTGCCTTAGCCTCCCAAATGCTGGGATTATAGACGTGCACCACCATGCCCAGCTTGTCTTTTTATGAGAGGGAAACTTTTTTTTTTTTTTTCAGGCGGCAGAACCACTGAGCTAAATCCCCAGCTCCTTGTTTTTCAATACTTAGTTTGTATTTTAACATTTGTGCCTGGGTTTCGTACACATTTTTGTGGTGGTGGGGGAATGGAACACACAGGACCTTTGCACTCAGCTTTTTATTTAATCATTTTATTTTGAGACAGCATCTCCCTAAGTTGCTAAGTTGTCCCAGCTGGGCTCAACTCGCACTCCTCCTGCCTCAGCCTCCCAAGTGCTGGGATAATAGGTGTTCACCACCATGCATGCCCGGCTGACTCCTGACTTCTAAGGTAAAAGTAGAATGACCTTGGACAGTGTTGTTTTCTCTTTGCCCCTCGGTTCCCTTACCCAGTGAAGAGTGTATTAGTTGCAGCCTCACCGGATCCAGATTAGGATCAGGCAGCACAGTGGCAGCCTTCAGGACGTGTTATGCAGTGTGTGCCGCCAACACTGGTCCTCATCCTGACCTCCCCTATGCCTCCAGGGGCCCTGTGGGTCTGCGTCATTCTGAGCCCACACTGTAAACCAGAGGAGCGGGCAGGCTGGCTCCAGCTGCTGGCCACATGGGACAAACTGGACGTGTGCCCACTGGAAGAGGGTAACTACTCCTTCGATGGCCTCAGTCTGCAGCCCACGGCAGCCCCCAGCCCAGGTAGGATGGGCCCTGCCACCTCTGTCCAACAAAACCATCCCCACTGACTGCCCCAACTTGCTCTCATGGTAGTCTGTTTCAGGAGAGTGGCGTGGGGGCCAAAAAAAAAGAGGGCCCAGCCATTGGCAGTCTTCCCAACCAAGAGGAAGTAAGTGCTGAGGGCAGGAGTAATGGCAGCCTGAAGGACAGTGAGGTGCAGTTCTTAGGGCACTTGCAACCCTGGCTCAGCTTCCTCTTGGCTATGAAGGTAGAAAGAAGATAGAGAGAGAGTAAAGGACAGGTAGAGTCAGAGTGGGTACTTGGACTAATGAAGAGAAACAGGTGAAGAGATGGTGATAGGGAAAGGCAGACAGAAGAACAAAGAGCAAGAGACTGATGAGAAAGCAGAGGGAGGAAGATGCAGACACAGCTACTCACCTGAGTCTTTCTCCCGTGCCTGGGGTTGGAGCACCATCAGCACCTACCCGCATCTTGGAGGGCTGCTTTGAGGACCAGGAGGTGAATGGTGCCCATGGCTCTGCCCAGGGTCTAACCCAAGTCGGAGCCAGGTGGGGAGCTCTGGCCGCAGCTGGGCGCCCACCCACACTAGACCACCTTGGGCGCCTCTCCCACAGGCCCCCAACAAGGAGAGGTGGAGGTGACAGCTGCCCGTTCCCGTCACACGGTGTTTGGCCGTGCCCTGCAGGCCGGGGTGCTGCACTGGAAGGATGCCCACCTCCAGAGGATCCTGGCCAGCGACTCCCCCAGCCCCAGCCTCACAGGCAGCACCGAGGGTGACAAGCCAGACTTTGACCCACAGGGCCGCCCGCTCTGGCTAGGTGAATCCTTCCCCACTGCCTGCGCCCGGGTGGACACCTTGCGTGCCCACGGGTACCCCCGCAAGGCACTGCGGCTGGCTGGCGCCATTGTCAACACCCTCCGGCTGCAGCGGCGACACCAGCTGGAGATCTACAAGCAGCAGAAGAAAGGTGGGCACCGGTCCTGACTGAATGTCCCTGGGGTGCCGGGGCAGGGACAAATGCAGGCTCCTACCAGGAAAACAGCACCGAGGTGTCTTGCACAGAAAGGAATTTAATACAGGGATTGAGGATTCCTAGACCCATTGGAAGGGCTGAGGCTTCAGATCCAAGCAGCAGGAGACTGAGCCGAGCACAGTGGCACATGCCTGTAATCTGATTCCAAGTGCAAGGCCAGCCTGGGCAGTAGAGTCTTTAAAAAGGACTTCTAGTGCTAGGGATTTAGCTCAGTGGTGCTGCTGCCACCTGCCTTGCAAGCACAAGGCCCTGAGTTTAATGCCTGGTACCAAAAAACAACAGCAACAACAACAACAAAACTGGCTGTGCTGGTGCACACATGTCATTCCAGTACTCTGGGAGGCTGAGGCAGGAGGATCACAAGTTCAAGCCCATCCTGGGGAACTCAGACCCCATCTCAAAATAAAAATGAAAAAGGACTCTAGATATATGAGGACATAATTCAGTGCCAAAGCTGTGGGTTCAATCCCAGTACCGAAAATACACAAAAACCACTCTAAAGCACAGGGCGTGACTAGCTTCGCAGATTGCTTTAAGAGCAATCAGAAGTCTATTGATGTTGAATTCGGGAATTTGTAGTGAGCCAGGCACACTGAGAGTGCCCTAGGACAAGGGGCGGGAAATAGGGTGTTCCAAGTCCGGGGAATGGTACAAGCAGGATCCCCAAGGGAGAGGGTGCCTGATTGTCTTAGAGGAGGAGGCTGGGGTGGGTTCCAGACAGCAGGTGACTGCTAAGTGACCTCGGTTGGTCTGTGGAAAGCTGTCTGGGCTGGACTTCAGCCAGGTGAGGCAGCCCTGAGGGCTAGAGGAGGAGATGGCACTGAGACTGTGTTGTGGGACGCCCCTGGTGTCCTCCCTGTGTCCTGCCTGGCCTGGTCCAGCAGTGCCACCGCAGAGCCTTAGGTCAAACAGCATGGCCTCCAAGAGGGCAGATGGTGACACCAGGGGTCAGGAAGAGGAATGCGCGCCCTTGTGCACATAGGCAGGACTTGAGCCCCCGTTTAACCTGCAGAGCAAGTGCCAGGGATTTGGCTCAGTGGTACTGCACCTGCCTGGTAAGCTCAAGGTCCTGAGTTCGAATCCCAGTACTAGAAGAAGAAAAAAGGGGGTGGACAGCTTGTGGGCGGCAGCGCTATCAGAGTTGCCAATGCTCCTTTGTTAACCTTAGAGCTGCTGCAGAAAGGCATCACCTGCATCACCAACACGGAAGGCTGGGTGGGCCACCCCTTGGATCCCATTGGCTGTCTCTGCAGGGCCCTCCTGGAGGCCTGTCGCCTGGAGGAGGAGAGCCTCTCACTTTACCCAGGTACCCACCTTGGGGGACCCGGAGGAGAAGGACCAGCCCCACTGTTGGCCCCGCCCCGCCCCAGTGACCACGCCTCTGACCCTGGACTCCTGGGTGCCTTCACGCCCCTTGGCCAGGAGCCAATCCACTTAAGTCTCTCCAGAAAATGAGGGTTCTAGGTGGAGCTGCTGCTGGGAGGAGCCCTACCCTCCGCGATCTGGGCGGGCACCCCTCCCCGTGCCCTTATTCCGCTCCTGTCACCGTGCTTGGGGCCAAGAGTCACAAGTGCCCAGGGAAGGAAGTCAGCCTTCAGCAGCCCTGGGCCTGTCTCCCTCAGACTCTGGCATCGAGAAGCGGAAGGCACTTTACCAGCACGTACCGGTGCCCGGGAGCCCCGGGGAGTCCTATCTGGCGCTGGCGCTGGAGGTGGCACTTCTGGGGCTGGGGCAGCAGCGGCCCTTGCCCGAAGGCCTGTATGCTCAGGATAAAGTGGTGCGCAACGAGGAGCAGCTGCTAGCCCTGCTGGAGGACGTGGCTTTGGATGACAGGCTGGTACAGGTGCTTCGGAAGCAGGCGGGGCTGCTGCTGGACGGTGAGGCCCCGCCCACTGCGCGTAATTGTCCACTCGGAGAGTGCCATTTCCTAGTCCCGCCCGGTAGCATGTACTGGCAGCCAATAACAGCTGTAGATGATGAGCCCCCTCCCTCCAGCACTCCCCAGCTCTGCCTCCTAGGCTTTGCTGTCAAGTCAGAGAGAGCCAGTTCTTAGTCCCGCACTCAGGACGTGCTGCCAACCAATAACTGCTCTCAATGGTGAGACCCCGCCCTTTCCCGTTTGGAGCCAATGGGCTAAATCGCTTCTGGAAGGGGCGGTAACAACATAGGCACCTCCCCAGGGCCTCCCTGCTCTGCCCATGGCCTGAGCCTATTGGCTTGTTTGCTGTGAATTTCCAGCCCATTGCTACGGGAGTTATTTGACTCTGCTCCGTCTGGTCCTCCTCCTGGTGGGACCTTGCTGGTCTTGGTCCCTAGGGGCGGGACTGCCTCTACCTCCGGGTGCCAGGGGACTCCTCTTTGAATTGTCCAGCACTTGTCTCCGTCTCAGCCCTAGGCCCCTGTCCCTGGGGTCTGTCCTGTCCAGTTCAGGCTCCTCAGGTCTAGGGAAATTTGATGGGGGAGGTGGCCCCATCCCTAGGTGCTGAGCTCAGACTGTGCCTGCAGGGGGTCCCCTCAGCGGCTTCGGGGAGGTGCTCTTCCGGGAGAGCGTGCCCATGCACACCTGTGCCCGCTACCTGTTCAGCGCACTACTGCCCCACGACCCCGACTTGGCCTACCGCCTCGCACTCCGTGCCATGAGGTGAGGACGGGAGTCGGGGGCTGGAGACACAGCGTGGGCCAGGGTGGCAGTAGGGCAGGCAGGCCTACACTCTGGGGGCTCACAGCCTGGCTACCTACTGCAGCCGCCTCATCTGGGCATCTGTGACCTGGGCTCCTCTTTACCAACACAAGTGTGTAATGTGATATTTGAACTTGGGAAACATCCCTTGGCACAGAATTCAAAAAGGACACAAAGCCTAGTCCTTCAAGGCAGGTTTAGTTCACCACACTCATCTCTCTGGAGACAAGCAAGATTTACCTTTTCTTGCAAGAGTGGAGATTGCTACAAACCTTTCTGGATGTTGGCAGCTGGGGTGTAGCTCAGTGGTACTTGCCTAGCATGCTCGAGGGCCTGGGTTCCAGGCCCAGCACCAAAAGAAAGTTTTTACGTTTTTATGGACCCAGCACACTCCCTCTCTACAACTCTGCACCCAGTTTTTATATTTTTGAATGATTGAAAGAATCAAAAGAATGCTTTTTGACATGTGAAAAATGCATGAAATTCAAATTTCAGTGCCCAGAAATGAAGTGTTACTGGCACCCAGCCACACATACGCGTCCGGATTTTGTCTGTGGCTACTTTTGTACAACTATGCACCATTGCATCATTGTGACAGAGACTCGTGGCTCTCTGGCCTTTTGCAGAAAAAAGGCCTGATCTGTGCTAAGTCTGTAAAATCGTCTAAACAACTGGGCTCAATAAGTATATTTATGCTCTGTATACACATAGTAAACTCAAGGTGTCTTCCAAGGTCACGCAGCAAGGAAATGTAGGGAATATCTGAAACTGAGATAGTCTTCACCCCTACTCTGTAAAGTTAATTACATCCAGCAACATTGAATAACTTTCTGGACCCAAAACTGCGTGTTCTGTCAGCCGCCAGCCTCAACTTTGATCCCAAGTACCGGGGAGGCTGAGGCAGGAGGATCTTAGGTTTTAGCCCAGCCTGGGCAGCACAGTGACAGTGGGATCTTGTCTCAAAATACAAAAGGACTCAGAGTGTATCTTAGTGGTAGAAAGGCTCTACCTTCCATCCCTAATTCCAGAAAAGACTGTATTGACAATTACAGACATTTTTCCTCAAATTCTTTAATGGTTTAACAACCATTTTCATCACACGTACATTCAGTAAGGTAATCTAAGTCATCAAGGGATGACTAAGGTAATGGGAGAGTTATATAGGTTTATGCAAATTTCAAGCCATTTGGGGGTTTTGTTTGTTTATTTTCTCTCTCTCTTTTTTTTTTTTTTTTTTTTTTTTTTTTTTT